TAGGCAGGGATTGTTCTTGTTTGTTTCTAATGTGTCAATCCCACTTCCTGCTTGGTGGAAGTTTGGGTCTGGGTTAGGAAATGTTCAGGGTGCTGCTGCTGTCAAAATCCCTGTTTTTAGGTGGCGGTGAGTTGGAGTGTTGCTTTCAGGTTGAATATTTCTTTATGTAGTACATGTAGTTTATAGAAAATGCTTTGAGTTGATTTTGCAGATTATGCTCACGTAACTGAGTGTAGATAATTTTGATGTCTTCATGATCAGGCCCATAAGATTTGTCTATTTGTTCTTCTATGGATATATTCTTTAGATCGGTGTTTGATAAATTTGGATTTTTCTCAGGCAGGTCCATTGATAAAATTGATGACCTTTCCTGCAATCCTGGGTCCACTGACCAATTGCCAGAAGGGTCTTCAGCCACATCATTTCTTTGGGAATCTCTGATGGTCACGTTCAAATCTTGATTGTCTGAGATAGATGGAGTACTTGAGATATATTCCCTTGAAAATCTTTGCCCAGCGGAACTGAAAAAGTCCTGTTGATTAATGGAGGTTAAAGGCACACAGAAGTCTACTATAGCTCTTTGACTTTTGCTTCTGGGAACATTGTAACTTCCACCACAAACTTTCTGGGCTCTGGTAACAACCACTGATAGTGATTGTAAGTGCTGTTGAATCACAGCTGCAACCAGGAGAGTTAGAGCCATCTGCAAAACCTAGTGCATACCCTAGTGTGGTTTCTTTATTTCTTTATTACCTTGCCTTCTGTGGTGCCTCCTTATCAGATAGCTCAGGCAACTCCCAACATTTGACTTCTAAGTATCTTCTAAATAACTCACAATAATGCAGCGTAGTTCTTGTACGGCCTTGAACTTTCCTGGAAACAATCTCAGTCCTTTCCAAACATTGTGTTGCTGATAAACTACCCTGGGAGACTCAGTGCTTCTTGCTCTCTTTGGTTCCAGCCACCACCAGGAAACAAAGTTCTTTAATGAATCAACTTGAGCAGTTGAATACTTTGTAAGTATTAAAAATAAAGATTAAAAAGGGAGCAGAGCTTGATAGAAACGCTGTTCCTCCCTCAGACCGGAACCGGAAGCCCCTTAAATCCTGTAACCAGGGCCATTGGTGGCATCATTCTATGGACCTAGAAAATTACCATGGGATTAAGATTGTGCATTGTTCTCTTAGGCTGGTTGAGAGTTCAGTTTCCTACTGCGCCTCCCAGGATTAAGCCATCCTGTGTAGCCTTGGGCAAGCTGCACAGTCCCAGGGTTCTGCCAGAAGAAGGGAAGGGTAAACCACTTCTGAATATTCTCTGTCTCTACCCTAAAAATCCCGGAAAGGATCGCTGTAAATCAGAATTCACTTGATGGCACACTATTATTATTATTACTGTTATTAATATTATTGTCCATGGAATGGAAGCCAAGTTCCTAATCATCCTATCACTACAGTGTGTAAGTTCTTGACAGGTAGTACTCTCACTTCCCCCTTGGTTTTGAAGACCACAGCAGAGGCCATCCCTTCCATAAAGCAGTCAGGTAGCTCCCTCAGGGGCCAGACTTGGAGTATCATGGAAAGACTGCAAATGTGAGATATTTACTGTTACAGTATGATTGGCCACAATCTCATTTTTAAAAAAAAAAATTTTTATTTTAACATATGCATAAGTGGAAGCATGGATATTATAGTGGCTAGATGAAACTAATTAATGAGGGACAGGCTGCATACCTATTTCCACAAACAGGCACATGAACAACACTTCATTAATCAGCTTCAACTAGCCACCACACATTTTTGGTTTTTAGAAAATATAAACATAAAACCCCATTGTATTTTATTGCCCATGAATCCCAAAGGCACCTTGTTGAGGGTGGGGGTCTTCTGCCTCGTGTCAAAATAGCTTGGCTGGATAAGGATTTTATGCACCTTCATGTGGATGCGAAGGGAGGCATTTGTTTTTCTGCCTCAATCAAAAAGATGTCCTGGGTAGGCTGTAGTGCTCATCCTTCTTCCTTCAATAGTTTATTAGTGTCTAAATTGTACTTGAACCCCATCTTTACAAGATGATTTTACATTTAATCATTAACTCTTAAAAAGGAAAGAAACAGATTACTCAACACCTATCTACCTACCCCTTTTACTACTTTCCAAGGACATTTCTTTATTACACATTCACTGTAGAGCAGAAAATATAGGACAAAGGGCCAGAAAGACCCATAAATCTACCCTTACTTTTTTGTTAGGTCTTCCATATCCATAATAAATAGCCCTCCTTGGTGTTTGCACACGTTCTTGCAAGCTCGCACAATATCTCCATCCTTGTACAAGATGTAGCTCTTTCCATCCGCTTTGTTCTTTAGGAAATTGATTCCTTCTTTGAGAGCAGCAGCCTCAGATACTGTGAGGGACAGCAATATTTTGCTCGTTTGTTCCACACTGTTTGAAACCAAAAAGTGAAGAAGAGTAGATAATGGCACAATACAGGAGTCTTGGGGATATATGTATATAAGTTTCCAGGGCTGGACCAGTATGTTCTACTGCTGCTGTCTGCAGTAAATTCCAAACAAGATCCATCCCTTCTAGGGCAAATGTTTTAAAAAGGCTTTTAACAACAATCAGATATCCATTTTTGGCTTTGTCTACTCTGCCTTCCCAGCCTTGTTCATGACCACCTTTATGGTGCTGCCTGAAGCAGGCCGCTTTGCCATGCACCATGGACATTTTGCATCTGTCAGTGTTCATTACCAGAACTTGCAGAATTACTAGGTTCCCCGAATTGTACTAGTGATTATGCTTCACTGAGAGTTCTAACTCAAAATATTGATTTCTCAAGCAGTGCTTGTGCATGACTGGCACACCAAAAAGCCAGGGTGAGGGAAAGAGATGGGGGAAAGATGGTTAATACATGTTCTTGGGGTTATTGTGCCATCTGGAGGAAGGCAGGCAATAGAATACCAGCACCAGGACTCCTAAGCTTTCCTGTCACCCAAGACTAGCTGTAGTGCAAAATCTGGTGGCGGGGGGGTGGTGGGAACCACCATTACAACACTGTAGAGCCTGGGGTGGGGATGGGGAAAAACAACTTTTCATGTATATCTGTGCTTAGCTAAAGTAACATAGGATGCAGCTTCACATGGGAATGGTACATCTTGACAGCTGCCCCCCCAAAAACCCCCAGTGTTTTGTTTTTCTCTGGCTCTGGTTTTGATACTACTTGGTTAGCTGGCTTTTACTTGGATTCTGAGCTCGTTTGTCTAGTGTTCTCATGTGCCTTTTTTCATAGACAGTTGGTTGAGAAGCACTGCTGAACTTTCACTTCTGTGACATCACAAAGATTTGCACCTGGTATCAAGGTTTTACCCTAAAACCTCAAGCAATTATCATAAATTCTATTTTATGCCATTAGACAATTCACCAGACCTCATGAAACAATAAAGACATGGTTACAAAACTATATAGGCTATAAATCTTTGCACAAACTGATATGGTATACTTTTATGTTATAAAATATTTCCTTAGTCAAGCTCTAAAACATATTGAGTCCCTTTTCTTTTTTCTTTCTTTCTTTCTTTCCTGAGTCCCTTTTCTTTCTTTCTTTCTTTCTTTCTTTCTTTCTTTCTTTCTTTCTTTCTTTCTTTCTTTCTTTCTTTCTTTCTTTCTTTCTTTCTTTCTTTCTTTCTTTCTTTCTTTCCTTCAGAAATGAGAGCCATGTACATAAATGGACATAAGTATGACACCCTTTCTTGTGGATGTCTGCTTCTATGATTGTAGCTTGGAAAAGTTACCTTTTTTGTAACTAACTATGACCATATTGGCTGGGGACTTCTTGAAGCTGCAGTAAAAAAAACAACAACAAAAAAAAACCAAACTTCTCCAAGTTTTGAGAAAACACAATCCTGTATCTCCATCACAGAAGGTGACAGATAGTATATACGAAAATTTGAACTTTATGGAATCTTCCTGTCCAAATTACTAATCAGACACTGTCAAGGAGTTTTACGAATCTTTACCTAACATTGGTTGTAAGGTAAAGGTCCGTAACACCTGCTCTTTGAACTCCTACATTTAATATGGCACACACTGTACAGCATAATATATTATACAAATACATACAAATCTATAAATAGTGTATTATATGTGTTTTAAAAGATAAAACAGAACATACAAGTATGGACAAAAATATTACATCCAAATACTATGGCAAGTTGTGATAAACCAGCAAACATTTCACTGATGGAGGCTTTTTGCAAATATTTTTAAACTCTTGGCCATTTTGCTTGTATATGAAGCTTTCTATATTATGAACTAATTCCATGTTCATGTAGCTATATACATTTAAAAAAACGTGCAACAAGCATTGTTTGGCTGGGTGTTTCTAACAGTTTCAATGCATGTATAACTCTCACTAAATATCCTCTTTTATAGAATAAGTCATCAGACAGTTTTAAAATTACATAGGAAAACATAAATATAAATAAATCTATAAAATGATAATGGATAAGAATACATGTGCATTATACATGAAATTAGCTTTCAAACAACTATTTAAAACAAAGCCCACTGACACTCCAGGTAACCTCTTCATGGTTATACCTAAGTAGTGAACTTCTTTAGTGGCGTACCTCAACTAAACAGACCCCTTACCGGCTTCTTGTTTCCTCAGGATTGCTGCTTTTACAGCAAAAATCGCCACTTTACGAGTTAAATGGGGGTTATCCCCTTGCAGTAAATACCTCAAATAGAAACTTACTGCTTCCTATGGGGGAGAGGGTCTTTCTGATTTCATTACCAGTTGCTTTCAACATGGTTTGCATCATAGAACTGAGAACGACTTGGAAAATGGTGCCTCAAAAAATTATCTAGAAGTACTTTTTTGAAAGTGATTTCTTCATAGCACACTTCAAAATTTACTGATCTTGGAAGTGATTACATATACAATTCTTTTTAAGCATTGTACACAACTCCTAATATATTAACATCAAAATTTGTTAAAGAATAATTAATAACTTAATCTTACCTTTCTTCCATGATGCTGCACAAGGTAGAGAAAAGAAATTACGTTGAATTCCCAGCAACAAAAATAATTGACTTTTATTTTGTCATACAAAGAATATCATAAGTTCTTTTTTGAACATGAGCTTGTAAAATGTAGCCAGATAGACAGTGTTTGAGAAGTATTCTAAAGAAAACTACAAAATTTTACCAAGTCTGGAGATTAAGAAGTTTGGACATTTTTGCATCAGTTAGAGGAGTTAAAACTTCTAGGAAAATTTGTTCTGATAATGACCACAGGAGTTGGAAGCAATAGTGGTGAGCGTAAAGGAAGCAAAATGCAAATAAGTAGGAAAGTTTGGCTGTATGTTCAGAATGACAGCTAGAAAGCAGTTGAAGTTCACATGAGTAATTGAGAGGAAACTGGCTATTGTCTATATCAACCAGAACGACTGGTTCTAAGTAAGGAAGCGTTGCAGGCATTTCTAGTAGGCGGAACCTTTGAAAAGGTAAAAAAGGCGGAGCTTGTGTAAGAGTGGTACAGTGACAGTTCACAAAACATGCACACACCACAAAAAAGCCTACTAGCACCAATGAGATCTCCCTTTTTCTCAGTCCCATGAGGAGAACCCCATATCTATAAATTTATTCGATCAGAACTTACAGGTTAGGCTGGCTTTCCCTGAACTCCTGGGCTAAAGTGTGAAAATGAGCTTTAGGTAAGCATTCTGAACTAGTTTTGCGTAAAGCAGGGAGGAATTGACTAAGAGTGCAAACATATGGTTGGAAAGGCATGCATCTGATTGCACCAGAAAGTTACTTTACTCTCTTAAAGCAACTGGGAAGCATTCTATCTACTTGGGAATTGCTCCAGCCCAGCCCTCAAAACTAGTCTACAGCTAGACCAAAGAGGTCCAGCTTAGGCATGGATCAGGGCTGGCTGGAGTACATTTCCCCATACATTGTTTGATTGCCAAGAAATAGATTGCACTAGGACTGCTCCATGAGCAGTCCAAAATATGATCGAATTCCATGTGTGATCACACTTTAAGACTATCCTGAGGCCCTTCTCCCCAAATGGAGAAGACTTGAGTGTTAGAAGAAGGTAACTTGAAGAACATCTTAGAAAAACAAAGAGCCAAAAGCAGTGACTTGCAAGTCTTTGATAAAAGCCTCAGATACTACTTTAAGATCAGTTGAAATTATGGTAAATCCTCAAGAGAAAGTGTAAACCAGTGAGATTATAGTACAGTTAAAGTACAGGAAAATCTACAAAAGAAAGCGAGCAAGAGAGAGAGATTTGAAGAAACGGGTGCTAAAAGAAAAATGCCTTCCTTCATTGTGTAGTGTTTCTTTAAAACAAGGGGTCTCAAACTCAATTTACCTGGGGGCCACTGAAGGCAGAGTCTGGGTGAGGCTGGGCCGCATCAGATTTTCCACCAAGTGGAGCAAGAGCCTGAGGAAACCGCCCAGGAGTTTCCTTAGCCCAGCTGGGGATCCGAGGAGGAGGAGGAGGAGTGTGCAAGCCCTCGTCGCCAGTCACAACCCTCTCCGGCTCCTTCTTCATTACCACCACCAGCAGCAGCAGCAGCAGGAAGAAAAAGAAGCAGAGAAGGGAGGAAGCGCCGGCAACCACTCAGTGGGGGGGGAGGAGGGCACAACATAATTTTTTTTAAAAAACCCTCACAGAATCACCTTGCCAAAGGAGAAAAGCCCCCATCGGTACCTGTGAAATTAAACAGAACAGGTGCAAGCATGCATGCGCGCGCGCGCACACGCACACACACACACACACACACACACACACACACACACACACACACAGACAGAGAGGTCCGGCAACCTTCCTCTGAGGGCCCCCTCAAAAAAAGGGGCACTCAGCAGCAGCAGCTACCCCCATCATAACAGAGGAGCAAACTTTGTGAGGCGAATCCAGGCAGCCTCCAGCGCCGAGGCGGCTGAAGCAGGATGAGGAGGAGGAGGAGGAGGAAGCACCACCAGGTGCTGAGGCGGCCGCTGGCCGGGGTGGTGCTTTGGGTGCCACAAGATAAAGAGAGTCAGAGAGCTACATCCCTGGAACAGGTGGCGGCAACTGCTGTTGGTGGCTTGGAGGTGCTTTTTGAGGACAGGACATGAGCAAGCTCTGCTCTCAGGCATCGCTCAGCCGTGGCTCAGGCACTCGGGGAAAAGAGCCGGCAGCGTGCCTCACTCACCAGCTCTCCCCCAAGACAGCGGCTCTTGCACCCTCCATCGCG